AACAATCTCTACGATCAACACAACCAATTACTTTGAACCGCGGAAAGAAGTTAATTGAAACATTCTCAAGTTCACAGTACGAAATAATTCGGCCAATTATACTACTGAAAGAATTTGCAACCAGTGACCAATTGTTGCATCTGTGTTCGTGTGTTAGGGCGTGTATATTAGAATTTTTTATGGAACGAATTTAACTGTGAACACAAATCATTTCTCTTTGAGAATACAAACAAATCATTCAAACGGTGAACAAAAACAACAACAGCAACAAAACAACAAATTTCAAAAAAAAAGGAAATGCATTATAACAACTAAAATTAAAAAGATCATAAATGTTCCGTTATAATTACACTAATAATACACAAACAAACCATTTGCATTGTGCAATGGAAATAAATGGTGGTAATGCTGAACATCAATCGCTTTCTTCATATAAACTCTATTATTGACACTGCAATCGACGAACGGTTGATGAAGACGCGTTATCCCGATTGAAGCAATCATATGAAGCTAACTCCAAAAATGCTGATACCATTCAGAAATGGTCATTTCTGCCTTTTCTGATCATCTTCTTTCAGCGTTGACCCGTTGCCATCGTCTTCATGAATAAAACTTCAGAACAAGAGGATCCGAACCTTCCCCGTTTCGCTCTTTCCGCTATAAACCTAACAAAGAACTGTCAGCAGCGAAAGACATTCAAAGTTCTCAAAAAAAAAGGAAATGAAATGAAGTTTTTCGATCGAAAACACCACGCGAAATGCTCACTATCAGCAAAAACTCATTGATGAATGCGCACTTATTCGATTAATATACACTGACATTTAATGCGAAACGAATCTACAATTAGCACACGACAACATTCGGTCGAATAAATTAGAATAAATATGCGAAATGATGAACAAATTCATAACGATATCTCGTTTCAAATTCTCTACAACACGATTGAATACTCCTCAATACAAAAATGAATACAAATACAAAAACACAACAACTGATTGGCTAATAGCAGCAATGAATAAACTATAATATTTTTGAAGAGCCATTTAACTCGATCAGCAAAAATATTCCTC